CCTGTTAGCAGTGTGGTCCTGTTAGCAGCATGATCCTGTTAGCAGCTTGGTCCTGTTAGCAGTGTGGTCCTGTTAGCAGCATGGTCCTGTTAGCAGTGTGGTCCTGTTAGCAGCATGGTCCTGTTAGCAGTGTGGTCCTGTTAGCAGCATGGTCTTGTTAGCAGCATGGTCCTGTTAGCAATGTGGTTCTGTTAATAGTCTTGCCCTGTTAGCAGCATGGTCCTGTTAGCAGTGTGGTCCTGTTAACAGCATGATCCTGTTAGCAGCTTGGTCCTGTTAGCAGCATTGTTCTTTTAGCAGTGTTGTCCTGTTAGCAGTGTGGTCCTGTTAGCAGCATGGTCCTGTTAGCAGCTTGGTCTTGTTAGCAGCATTGTTCTTTTAGCAGTGTTGTCCTGTTAGCAGTGTGGTTCTGTTAGTGGTGTGGGCCTGTTAGCAGTGTGGTCCTGTTAGCAGCATGATCCTGTTAGCAGCTTGGTCCTGTTAGCAGTGTGGTCCTGTTAGCAGCATGATCCTGTTAGCAGCTTGGTCCTGTTAGCAGCATTGTTCTTTTAGTAGTCTTGTCCTGTTAGCAGTGTGGTCCTGTTAGCAGCATGGTCCTTTAAGCAGTGTGGTTCTGTTGTGTAAATGGGTATTTCAGTGTATCTGGCTGCAGCAGCAATGATCATGCTGATCTGAGTCTGCTGACCTTTTCCTGTCATGCTCCAACTCTCTGTGTTGTCTCGGCCTGCAGATGAAGGGCTGCATCAAAGTGCTGAAAGAGCAACCATCCAACAGCGTGGAGGGACTTCTGAACGCACTAAGGTGGGTTGAAAACACCACACATCCAGAGACACCGATCAAAAGAAGAAGAAAACACTTCCTGTTTCCTGTTTGTAACTCATCCTGTTTTCCTCCTTCAGGTATACAACACGACATCTAAATGATGACAGCACCTCCAAACAAATCCGGGCTCTCCTGCAGTGAAAGAAGGAGGGAAGCAAAGAAGAAACAGACACCAGTGGCTGAAAAAAATAAATAAATAAACCTGTTTGTTTACAAAGAGTGAAGAAAATGACCTGCAGGTCAGAGAGCAACCTGCCGACAACAAGAGGAATTTAATTCTATATATTATCAGCTGTCCATCATTCTGTCTCTCATTTTGTAAAGAAAGAAAAAAAGCCAGATTTGAAGATATAGATATATATTAAGAGGTGAAACAAGCTGCAGATTAACAGTAGGTAGGATTAAAGAAGCTATATTGACAAAAATTAAGGGTTGAAACCAAAATGTATGAAAAGAAATGGTGTTCCAGCCGTAGACTGACCAGTATTTTTGCACACGCTTTAAAAAAAAAAAAAACTTTTCCTGGAATTTTGTTCCAAAACTGGTTCCCCAGAGCTGTTGGGTTCTCTTGCTGCACCTCGGCCCCCCTCGGCCCCCCCTCAGCTGCCCGGTGAGTCATGAAGCAATGTGATGGAGTCACTCCGGAGATTTGCTTCCTTTTTCGTCACTTTCTTTTCTACATCAGTGCAGCTGTGGGGGGTGGGGACATGATCCTCTGTTTACATCCGCCCCACTCATCCATCTGGACTTGTTGTTTCTTTTCCCCACCTTGGCACTAAACAGTGTTCCAGCACATTCAATTTTCTTTTCTGACTTTACTTGAACGATGTTCTTCACGTCGTGACCTTCTTGGTGCCAGCGTGGTTCAGATCTGTCGGTGCGAGCTTCTTAGATTCCACCTGATCGAGACAACTTCTTTTTCCTCAATGGGCTGGCTTTGTTTAATTTCAGATTCCCAGTTTTCTGCAGGTGGATTAGTACGAAAGACCAAATTAGGGCAGCATCGTAGGGGAAATCTCCAGCACATTTCTTAACCCAGTGCCAAAGCTGATTGGTTTACACTACTATGACATCATCAATGCAGGCCGCAGATGGGTGTTGTGATCTTGCAATGCCATCATCGTCATCTTTTTAAAAACACAAACAAAAAGAAGATGACACGTCAGATGAGTTGGACAGATTTCAGACACGCGGGCTTTTTGAGACCGATCCGAAGACTCTGGTGTAATTATGCGAGACTTTTCTCGTCTACAAGGTCCGCATAAGGGGAAAAACAAAAATAAAAAAACAACAACACCTGCATCCAACCATTCTTTCTGTTAGTAGGAAACTGAGGACATCATTTAAAAAGTTGAGGAAAAAAAACCCTGAAACAAACAAACAAAAAATATTTAAAAGTTCTGTACTTTGGATGTTTATAGACCTTAGTCTAATTTAATTTATAATATATTTTCTATACAGGGATATGTGCACAATCATATTCTGTATAAATGCATAGATGGCATGTTGTAAAAGTTCAGACAGAAACGTGTAAATAAGGTGTTTTTATTCATTTTTAACTGTTCAGTGACGCTGAATTTGGGTGTGTCGTCTCAGAGTTCCCATGCGTTTTGGCTTGGACCATCGGACTTGCCGTAGTCATAGGTTTTCAGAAATTCAGCTTCATCAAAGCGAATGAACCTGGAGTGAAGGAGGAGGGTCACTGAGGTATGGGGGAGGGGGGCTCTCCATTTGCTTGTTATTTTGTATATTTTGTGCAACAATAAACTTGTCATTTATTAAATTCAGCTGCTGATGTGCGTCCGTTTGTGAGTCTGATAACTACAACCCCACTCTGGGAACAAAGCCCTGTTTACACAACGCGTTTGAGTGAATGTAAGGATGGTACCATTTGCTGGCTCTGTTTGTGTCTGTGTTTCCCTAGTGTTTCCTCTTCAGTTTAATTGGTGCCACCCTTGTCTCGTCACAGCTGTTTGTAATCAGTCTCGTCTTGTCCCTGTACATAAGCCGTCTGTTTAGTCTGTTTCCTTGTCGCGTCGTATTCGTTGGGTCTCTGTGTTCTCCTGCGTTCTCCTGAGTCTCCCCTGAGCTTCCTGAGTCCTTCCTGAGTTTCCCTCTGAGCCTACCGTTTTCATGTAAGTTTTGCTGCCACGTCAGCTGTTTATTTTTGTTCTTTATTCACTATTAAAATACTTATTTTTGTAATCTGCCGAGTTGAGTCCTGTCTGCACAACTTGGTTCGTTCCTGACACAAATCCTGACATTACGACGCGACCACATATCAGAACCCAGCGGGCAGGATTCTCTCGGCAACTTACCTTTTTTTCTTTTTTCCCTCCGAGCCTCTTGAGATGAGCAAGCCTACAATCCGGTGCGGAGGGTTCTGCACCAGGCCCGTCCGTCCACAAGGACATTATGACCAGGAGGTTGAAATCCTGTCCTCACCACTCCTGGTCCTCGAGGAGAACAGAGCTCGGCACCGGGGAACCCACCAGGTCCCTGTTTCTGAGTCCTCCTCGCCCGGCTATTCGGGGTGGACGTCGGGGGAGGACGAAGAAATCGAGGACGAATTCTGTTTTGTTCCTGTCCCCCAACTCTCCCGCCGTCGCCGGGGAGGTAGAAAGCGGTCCCGGGGGCAGTCCGCGGCGACCGGCCCGGTCTCGTCGGCTGAGCAGAATCTTAGAGTTGGTTCTGGTGTTTCTGTGGGACCCGGGTCCGCCGCCTCACCTCTCAGGTTTCCGGTGGGGGCGAGATCCGGCGTCCCGCGGGAGCTCCGGTCCACTCCTGTTCGGTTCGGCGAGTCCGGTCCACTTGATTTCACAGGGGCGGATTTCGTGGCCTCACCTTCCAGGTTCCTGGTGGGGGCGGAGTCCGGCCTCTCATCGTCACACCGTGCCACGGCTGTCCAATCCAGTCTGACCGAACCTCCTGAGCAAACTCACAGTGACCCTGTGTGGGCGTGTTCCGCCACCCCACCTCCCAGGTTTCCGGTGGGGCCGACACCTGACACCACTCCCTCATTTAAAGACACTTGCCCGTCAGTCACATATTCACCCCATGAACTTGCATTGATAAACCAGACTTTACTAGATTCATTTCTCAATGCTAAACATAACCCGGACTGCTCAGACATTATATTTTCCCTGATGGAGAAATTTTTAGTTTCACGGCCAGGTCTCATTCTGATCCCAGAGTACAATCGGTTATTAATAGAAATTAGGACTCTCATCTCACCCAAGGTCACTAATACACATTCTGAACCCATAACTCATCCTGCACCTTTTGTCACCACCGTCTCTGAACTCTCCTCTGCTCCTCTGACTCCTGCACCCATCACCTTCGCCGCTGGTCCGCCTGCTGAGCGCCTCGCTGTTGGTGCACCTGCTCCTGTCGCCTCAGAAGACTCAGCATCTGTTTCTGTTTCCCGCCGCCGCCGCCGCAGAAGATCAGTTCCTGCCGCCGCTGCAGAACTCCAGGCCTCTCCGTCGTCTGCTGCAGAGCTCCAGGCCTCTCCGTCGTCTGCTGCAGAGCCACAGGCCTCTCTGTCGTCTACTGCAGAGCTCCAGGCCTCTCCGTCGTCTGCTGCAGAGCTCCAGGCCTCTCCGTCGTCTGCTGCAGAGCTCCAGGCCTCTCCATCGTCTGCTGCAGAGCCACAGGCCTCTCCTACAGCAGCAGCAACTCTCCAGGCCTCTCCGACTGCAGCAGCAACTCCCAAGGTCCCCTCGTCGCCTGCTTCCAACTCCAAAGTCCCCTCGTCGCCTGCTGCCAACTCCAAGGTCCCCTCGTCGCCTGCTGCCAACTCCCAGGTCCCCTCGTCGCCTGCTGCCAACTCCCAGGTCCCCTCGTCGTCTGCTGCAGCTCTCCAGGCTCCCACGCCGTCCGCTGCAGCTCTCCAGGCTCCCACGCCGTCCGCTGCAGCTCCCCAGGCTCCCACACCATCCGCTGCAGCTCCCCAGGCTCACACGCCGTCCACTACAGCTCCCCAGGCCTCCATGATGCAAGCTGCAGCTCCCCAGGCCTCCATGATGCAAGCTGCAGCTCCCCAGGACTCCATGATGCAAGCTGCAGCCCCCCAGGACTCTATGTCGCACGCTGCAGTTCTCCAGGTTTCCACGTCATCTGCGGCGCTCTCCAAGTCTCCAGAGGGGCCGGCGCTCCCCAAGTCTCCAGAGGGGCCGGCGCTCTCCAAGTCTCCAGAGGGGCCGGTGCTCTCAAAGTCTCCAGAGGGGCCGGCGCTCTCCAAGTCTCCAGAGGGGCCGGCGCTCTCCACTACCACGGAAGATTTGCCTCCATGGTCCTCTAGGTCGCACGATGCGGCCCCCAAGGCCTCTTCGCCGTCTACGCGGCCTGACGCGGCCTGACGTGGCCTGACGCGGCCTGACGCGGCCTCTTCGCCATCTACGCCGCCTGACGTGGCCTCTTCGCCGTCTACGCCGCCTGCCGCGGCCTCTTCGCCGTCTACGTCGCCTGACGCGGCCTCTTCGCCGTCTACGCCGCCCGACGCGGCCTCTTCGCCGTCTACGCCGCCCGACGCGGCCTCTTCGTCGTCTACGCCGCCAGCTGCGGCCTCCAAGAGTTCTCCGCCGCCAGATGCGGCCTCCAAGTCGTCATTGCCGCCTGCCGCGGCCTCCAAGTCGTCATTGCCGCCTGCCGCGGCCTCCAAGTCGTCATTGCAGCCTGCCGCGGCCTCCAAGTCGTCATTGCCGCCTGCCCCGGCCTCCAAGTCGTCATCGCCGCCTGCCCCGGCCTCCAAGTCGTCATTGCCGCCTGCCGCGGCCTCCAAGTCATCATCGCCTCCTGCCGCGGCCTCCAAGGTCCTATGTGTTGGACGGCCTCCCGGCCGCCCCCCAGAACGTGGGTCCCGTGATGGACGGTCTCCCGGCTGCCCCCCGGAACGTGGGTCCTGTGATGGACGGCCTCCTGGCCGCCTCCCTGAACAATGACTCTAGGGACGGTCTCTTGACCGTTCAGATCTTTTGTGTTTTCCTGCTTGTGTTTTGCCTTAGTTTTTGTCAGGTCCTTGTGTTCTTCCTTGTGTTTCCTCTGGCCCTCCACCCTTGCAGTGCCGCCCTCCACCCGCCCAAGTCCTTCGGGAGGGGTTTTTTTTGGGGACGCCTGGTGGCGTCCTTGAGGGGGGGTACTGTAAGGATGGTACCATTTGCTGGCTCTGTTTGTGTCTGTGTTTCCC